AACTGCTACCTACGACCACGGATAAGCGGGAGAAGATGAATGGATGGACATTAAACATTTCAGGCAGCGGGATGAAAGTGGACAAGGTGTAATGGTTTGATATTTAAGGCCCGGGAATAACATGATTTGATCTCTCGGGTAAGCAAGTGTTATATCAGTGGATTGTAAAACCGTACCGACTTTTGTCTGACTTTATGCCATCTACTGAAGTTACAACCCAGTCTCATGGCATTTCGTGTTCACCAACACGATTTTTAATCTATTGATTCGTGTTCACCAACACGATTTCTCCCTTTTTTTTTTTTCATGTCACACAGAATAATTTAAAAAGCAATGTATTTCTACTGGTAGTGTGTTTCGTGCCTGCAGCACGTCTTTTTCTCCGGTCGGGTCGGAAGACCGGAAGCTGTGTGGTTCATAAAAACATTTTCTTACTCAATATCAAGCCAATATTTAAAATTTAAATTTTAAAATTGTATAATGTCGGACTTTTCTTGCCGTCCGCGAGGAAAATAAATGGGGCTCAGAGACTCAGAATACTGAAATCTTTATTTTTTAAATCTTTTTTTCCTTATAAGTTGTTATAAACATACTACCAATAGAAATACATTGCTTCTAAAATCGTTCTGTGTCAGATAGGGGTGTAACGGTTCACCAACATTTCGGTTCGGTACATACCTCAGTTTTTAGGTCACGGTTCGGTACGTTTTCAGTACAGCAGAACAAATTATCAACANTGGAACATTTTGCGAAACACAATAGCCAGCATGTGTAGTTCTGGGGGGGGGCGTTCGATTCCAGTTTTGGATAGTCTGGCGTGGTTTTGTTCCATTTCAAACAGCTGTTTGACGCTCGGCGTAACCTTGGCGCACTGCCACTCCAACATCCAATCACAGCACTTGAAGATTAATCACGGGGACTGTAGTCCTAAACGATAGCTGGGGATTATGGGTAGTGTAGTGTCTTCGGCCATCCTAAACTCCTAGAGGCCTACGTCTGTTTCCGGTTATTTTTATTTTGAAATTCAGTTCCTGACGGACGCCAAAAAAAACAGAGATTATGGAATTAAACCAATAAATAAAAGCAAGGATAATTGTGTGTTATTGGTGAGTAAATAACAGTGTGTTATTTTGAAAAGAATAACAAATTAGAAGGAAAGATTTAAAAATACAGATTTCAGTATTCTGAGGCTCTGAGCCCCATTTCTTTTCCTCACAGACGGCAACAAAAGTCCGAAATTATACGATTTAAAATAAAAGCAATAATTGTGGCTTGATATCGAGTAAGAACATGTTTTTATGAACCACACAGCTTCCGGTCTTCCACGACCCGACCGGAGAAAAAGACGTGCTGCAGGCACGAAACACATTACCAGTAGAAATACATTGCTTTTAAAATCGTTCTGTGTGACACGAAAAAAAGGGGAAAATTGTGTTGGTGAACACGAATCAATAGATTAAAAATCGTGTTGGCGAACACAAAATGCCATGAGACTGGGTTGGAAGTTAGCACGAGGTTCTCTTTATTTATTCACTTCTATAAATTCTGTCCTTTTTGTAATTTAAAATTCACTAACCTTTACCTTGACTGTGTGTTCCCAGGTGATATGAATCTGGCTCATAGTTTACCTCAAACAGTGCTTTACAGGGTTAGATGAAGCTAACGTAGCAGCAGTGTTAGCTATACCACATTTTACAAAAGCTCTTATGTTGAACTGAGTACAGCAAGCTTTTTCTTCTTGTTACATTCCTATGACAAGGGTTTTAAAGTCGAGCAGATGGAGTGCCTTTATTCAATCATCAATATAAGTATTTTATCACCTATTTTCTATTTGAATATGAACTGAAATGTTGGCTGCAATTCAGATGTCTGGATTCAGGTAACACACTTCCGAGGATGGGACCAATTTCTTTTATTACGTTTGAAAAACAAATGTACCTGCTAGGTTAAGAGGATATCTTACACATCGGCATCCTGGTAGAAATTGTGAACACACTTGAAAGAAAAATGCTTTACAACAGATTTTACATACACTTTCACACCATATGTATCAGGAAATACAATGGTAGGGGCTTGTCCTGTAGCAGTCAGCTTTTCTTAAAGAAACAGAATCAGCTCCACAAGGGCGTTTCAACCGTGCCGGTGGAATAATTTCCAGATTCTCATTACATTGAAGGAGGAAAAAAACATCAAAGGTTCAGCACGCCACTGAAATTACTATTCCTAGTACGGTTTCCGGTATCAAAATAACTTTGAAGTTTCATGTTTCTCTTTTGTAAACCTCACAAAGGAACTGACACCCCGTGCTTTGAGATCCGCGGGTCTTCATTCTGTATGTACAGGTGTGGGTGACCTTGTCTAGGTTGTCTTTAATTGGATGACCTATTGCTTTGAATAAGGGCTGCTCATCAGTGAATGCTGAGGAGTGGTACCATCTTAGAGTTCATTGAAGTGTCAAGATAACAAGTGATTAGACGGGTGCGAGGAGACATGGTCAGAGAGCCTGTCAGAGACCATTCCCGTCCTGAAAATATCAAATGTATGTGTCCATTTTTACCCCACTGGCAACGCTTCGGTCTCCCTGGATGAACTGCGAGAGCATTACAAATAGTCTTTTATTGTGATGCTGGTACTGTATAGTTCTTGTGCATTATTTCTCCATCCATCCTCTCTATCCAGTTCATTTCCTCCCTGCCTGTCCACTTTAACACCACTCTGCTTTGCTCTCCTTCCCAGCCTCTACGCAGAGTCATTTTTAATAGTCCCTGTGGTGTGGGTTTTGGACAGGCGCTTTAGTTATGTAACTACTTGTGCTGCTTCTGTGCCTCTTTTTTTCTTTCCTTCTCTTTTTTCTCCACGTTTCCATGCATTGGGATTTTAGTTGTCTAAACAAATGCTGGTGGAGTCTCCTTGAGGTTCAAGTGTGTGACCTGTGCTACGTGTGTTTGTGTCCTTGTGCTTTAAGGACACCCCTGATGCAGAAAGACAGGGAGTTCAGACTCCCATCCTCCTCCCTGCTTCTCTCTCCCTCTGTCTCTGTACACTCCAGGAGGGTTTCTAAATGTATGATATTCCTCAGTGTGGAGATTCACTTTTAGCATTTCCCTTTTACATTGTTATCCTATGTAACCTCGATATACATCTCAAATATGTGCCATTGCGCCTGCACATTATCTCCTCTGTGCGATGGGCGTCCATGTGGAACTCATGCATTCAAACATGTTTGTTTGAATTTATGCCAATTGTTGGGGAAAAAAACATTTGTGTGTTCCTTTTTTACCCCTCTGGATAAAGATTATATCTCCATGTAAAGTAGGCAAGGCCAAGAGAAGAGTTGCCCCTGGAGGGAGGGGCGGGGGTGTAGCCTCAGGCCTTCTTACAATACATCTCAATTTTTCTCTTGAATCTGAATTTCATATACACTTTTGAGTTGCTCCCTTCCTCCTAAGGTAAAAAGCAAGTGGCTTATTATTTACTTACTGAAAAAGGGGAAGTCTGGGAGTGCTGTCTCAGGAGCTGACAGAGTGCCTGCACGGGCAGCTTTACACACTTCCTGCTGGAGATAATATTATGACATCTTTTTACAGACCCCTTGAAGACGAGGCAGAATCTGGAGAAACCCTTTAGTGAGTCTTGTGAATGTAATGGGAAAGGAAAAGCTGCTGATGATTGAAGGCTGAAGTTAAATGAAAAAGAAAATCCTTTTGGAACTATTTTACAGTTTTTTGAAAAGTTCTTCAAATACGTTGCTCTGCTCATATCATCAAGTCTTTTCCACAGAAGTGTTGCCAGCATATGAGCTTATTACTGAGATGATGTGTGTTATCAGTTACTGAGGTAAAACTCTTGATCTTATAGTCTAAAATATAATATATAAATATATGTCTAATATATTTAACCTTTTTAGACAGATTTAGCAAAAAAAAACTCTTCCGGTGCCATTTGGGTGGATTTTCCTTATCTCTGGCCCCCCTTCTTCGATTTTGACATGTGACATCTCTTTCTGATCGTTAGAGCCAATAGAATCGAAGGGAAATCGTCTCGCACACACTCATGTAAAAAAGAAAAGATGGCGTCTTCACGCATTCAATGAAGCTATAGAGCCTAGGAATGGCCTGCTCTACTTTTTTAAAACGGAATTGCAGTTTTATTGCTTATAGATTATCAGAACATTTCAAAGGGGACACATCCACATTGGATATTAACCTATGAATTAACTACATCATCGTTGTTATCGTTTTAATGCCATTGAAGACCAGTTTAGACCAGACAAAGACGAAGGTAAGCCATGTTAGCGTTGTGGGCTACCTAGCGCCACATGTTTTGATGTACGTTTTTGTTGATAACGTCGCGAGTTTGTATCTTTCAGTGTTGAGGTGGGCACCGTTAGATTCTGTGTCTTTACGATCATAAATTATGTGTTGGATGTGCAGCTAGGATAAGTAATAAGGGAGCTAGGAGTGATTTTCGATGCAGTAATAGGTTAGCATATTTCGCTCGGGGCTAATTCAGAGGCTCACTGTTAGCATTGTGTGTTTCTTTTTTTTTTCTTTAAATGAAAAAGATCAGTTAAATGAGTTTTTTCCCGTTATATGGATATAAAACATTCATAGTTTATTAAATATTAAGGTTCTTTAGACGTTGTTTCCTGCAAATGACGCGATTTCGGCCCCGGAACCGGGTCCGTGGGGCTTAAGAGGTTTTAAAGTACATTGTCAAATAAACCTCTACAACCCTTTCAATTATCATAATTGTTCTTGTTTTCAGGTGGAACTTTTTTTCTAATAATAAATATCTCAGACATCCACAATGATCATTTGAAATCATTAAAATGTCTTCTATTAATTAAATGTCCATGTACAGATTTTCTATTCACTGTTATAGGTGTAGCTCCAGGCAGCACATGTGGTTGATTTGTAAGCAGTTTTTAATGTTTAGAAGTACCAATGTATTCCTGGGATGTGGTTAAATAATCATTTGCATTATTTCAATGAGGCAACTTACATATAGAAGGTCTGCCCTGTGGAGATGGCTGGGGTCATCGTGTCCGTGGTAACGACCTCAATGGACAGAGGGTATTCACAGATCTTTCCCGGGTTTTCTCTCCTCAGGTTACTCAAAGGCTCCCAGTCCCCTGAGCCACTGGGATTGTCACGGTCAAACCAGTCGGTCCAGCACACTGCAAGGAGCAATAAAAGAGTGAGAGGACGACTGGGAAGGAAGCTTTTCTCATACTGATATTCTGTACAAACTGTGCTGTTGTGTTTGCTGTAAAGTGTGTTTACTGTAAGTTATGTTTTCATTATATGTACAGCACTTTGGCTCGACCAAAAATCGTTTTAAAATGTGCTATATAAATAAAACTTGATTTGATTTGATTGAAGCAGTAAAACTCTCCTAAATGAATGCTTATGCCACTGAACGGTTTAAAAAATGACTTACCTTGATCTTCTGGATCTTCTGGACCTATTGGATCTTCTGGATCTCCTGGAACGGGAATCCACTGGTGGCTTTCTGGTAAAGGTTAAGAGAAAAATGTTACAAACTGTGACTTTGTATATTCCGGGTGAAGTAAAAATATGATCATGTAATATTTATCATTAACCTACCCAAGAACAATGCGGCAAAAATGGCAACACTTAACTATCGGAGAAAATACAAAATGTAAAGTTTATTATGACATACTGTATATATGCAGAACTTGTAAATCTACATAGATTGAAAGGAAATGTAATCCAAAATCAAACATTACCAATTTGATCATGGTTGCAGAGGATCAGGGACCTTTAAAACTGTAAGGGAAGTTTGAAATTAGGAATTTAAATCAACATGAGCATTATCAAAATAAATGGAGTTGCTTGAAATAAAAAGAATGTGAGATGAACTTTATATTTTATTTCAGTTTTAACAAGAAAACTACTTTTAACTAATGCTGAAAATGTGTGTAAAGGTTGAAAGCTATAAAAAAAAAATCATACCAATGCATTGCAGCATTTACACTAAATACATTTACAATCTAAGCATTCAACAAAAATCACATTATTTTAAAATCAATAGTTCAAAAAAAGTGAAGTAAATTCTAAAAATGAAGTTCAGAAAAAGAAATAGTTGCATGTTAAATTTCTCTCAGTGGAACAGTTTGGTTCATGAAGTGCTCTTCTGTCTCCTTAAATACAGCTGGGGGAGTAAATATCCCCCCCAACCCCACTGGAATCACCAGTTTTGTTTCAAAACAAGAATGCAGTTTTCAAAAAAACTGAACGAGATACGCCTTAAAATTCTAGGGGGGTTGAATGAGAATACAATAATTGGAGATAAGGTGTTCAACTCTACCATTCTTCTGTGGTAACTTTAAAAGCACCTATATATAATGGACCTGTTTCACACGTAAATCCAAGAGGATGCATGTACACCTGCTTTGTGTCTTATTTAGGGAAAACTCAGGTTTGGTTCATCTTAATTTTGTTCTCTGTATTTTGCTATGATTCAGATTCAGATTCAACTTTATTGTCAATATATAGTACATGTACTAGTGACAAAATGTAAGTTTAGGCCTCTGACCAGAAGTGCAAAATAGCAGTACAGGAGTCTACATAATGAGAATAATTATACATGGAATTTTTATAAATAGAATAACTATAAATAGGCTATAAACAGATGAATATATACAGTGTAAACGGCATTGACAGTAAAATATATAAACAGGTGGGTGGTGGGTATGGGCTTGAGTCTATCAGCGGGCAGAGTTCAGCAGGGTAACAGCCCTGGGGAAGAAGCTGACCCTGGACCTGCTGGCCTTGGACCGAAGGCTCCTGAGGCGCCTCCCCGAGGGTAGGAGGACAAACAGATAGTTTGCAGGATGAGAGGTGTCTTTGAAGATGTTGTGCGCCCTCTGCAAACACCGTATCCCCTGGATGTCCTCGATGGCAGGGAGTGGGACACCGATTATGCGTTGGGCGATTTTCGTCACCCTCTGCAATGCCTTCCTATTGAGCATTGTGCAGTTCCCATACCAGGCTGTGATACAGCTGGTCAGGATGCTCTCAATCACCATTGAGAGCATCCTGACCAGCTGTATCACAGCCTGGTATGGGAACTGCACAATGCTCAATAGGAAGGCATTGCAGAGGGTGACGAAAATCGCCCAACGCANCATCGGAGAGAAATTGAGCTGTGGTGTGAGGAGAGACTACCTTGGGGACGTGACGACGTTAGCTACAGGTGTTAGCAACGGTCACATCAACATTGTGAGTTAGCTATCATATATCAGGCCTAGTAACTAAAAGTGCATGTTTAATATAGTAACTTACTGGCAGGTATGTTGATACTGATCCCTAACAGAAACTAATGCGCAAGTATCACCGTATCTCGCGTGTACCTAATGCAATGCAGTGCTGTGTCACCGGAGGGAGATTACTTGGACCGATCTGGTGGAGAAAGGTTGTCGTGGCCTCCTTTGATATTGCCGTTGTAAAGGCTGATGGGAAGCAGGTGTGCCGTCGGGCAGGGTGCACAGCTGATTGCAGCAGGTGACGGTGGAGGTTGGCGCGGGGCCAGGAGTGACAGGCCACCACGCGCCACAAAACACACAGACAGGGGAAACAAACAAACACAAAGGAACGCCTGGAGCGTACGCCACCACGCGCTTACCTAAATGCAACTCCACCATACGTCTTACCGTTCCGTGTACCGGAGGGGAGGAGAGAGGAGCAGCGAAGGGGGGGGAGAGAGAAGTAATACGGTTTCCTGATAAAGCTGTGGAGAGTATGCTTCAGGGAGGTGGATGCACAACGCACCCAGGAACGAATGCTAGCTCCGGTCCTTTTTACTGTGGACTTGATGTCCTGACAGGCTGGTATTTGTGCAACCTGCACAAACACAATACTGCACCATGATTACAAATGGTGAAATACAATGTAAAACTACCAAAAAATACCAGCTCCTTATACACAACCGCTCAACTCAACGCAACTCTACTATACCCGCGGTCAGAGAGCGGAGATGTGTCCCCTGCGTGATGTAATATGACGCGTTTGACGTATGACCTTAAAAAAAAGCTGTTTTTAAGAGCAGAGCTCAAAATTGCTCCTTTCCCTCTGAATTCCTGCCCTTATGTCTCGTAAAACATATCAAATCCTACATTCACTTTTTTAATTGTAATTTTCAAGCAAGTTTATGCATAAATGTAGAAGAAAAAAAAACCGGCAAGATGCTCTTTAAGAAGAACACAACATTTCTTCATTGGAAATGAAGTAGATTTTGGTTTGTCATTTTCAGATGTTCAACAAAAATATGTAATGAAGCAGTACTTTAGCAGTATATTTTTTTAGCAGTTAATATTTGTTTTACTTTTATGTTAAGTCAAAATCCTCGTACGTGTCAACCAACTGGTAATAAACCTGTTTCAGATTCTGATTGTAGTTCTCCAAACTCAACAATATATTTTTGATAGCCTCAAAGATAACATATGAAAATGTCTGAACAAATGTAAATGTTTATTCAGTCACAATTACCTGTTACACACGTTTCCGTGTTTCTTTAATTTGATCTTTAATTGCTTCATTTATTATATAGGCTAAGCATGCAAATAAACAGAATGTTTTAGCAAAGTAACATTTTCCTTAATTTTTTTTTTTCGCTTGTCCGCTTAATTGCTCTTAGAATATGCCAAATGTGTCAAGGAAGTGAGATGGCAGGGTGCATAGAGATCCAAACGGTATCCAAAAGATTTATTGTCTTACAAAACATTGCCTCTTCTACAGAACCATCAAAGAATATGAAAACAGAACACTGTTGATCCACTGCTGTTGCTGAAACAATTTATTTGCTGCTCCTTGACAGTATTTCAATATAAGTTTGTTGTGCCACATTCAGTGAGCAGCGGGAAGGAAATTATAGTAAAGGCAGGAAAAAAGTCACTTTCTTCACACTGTGGAGCTACCAAACGTGTCTCTCACGTTAGAGGACAGATCTGCATTGATTTTGTGACAAGTGAATCAGACTCTGCTTTAATTGGATTGGTGCATTTGGAGTCGTCCAACTAATTGCACGAGACCATGGCAGCTCAAGGCGTGCTGCTGGGAGCAGACCAGCGTGAGACTCTGCAGCTTCGGCCTGGTTTCACAGCCAACAAAGTCTGTTGCTCCGTGCAGAATAATCACTCCATAGCTGTGGCAGAGGACATGCCCTGCCTTATTACCGATGTGTCTCCTGTGTGACAACATTGTAACGCCAATATCACCCTGGGGGCCAAGTGTTCCGGTCAATAGCTGATTGATTCAGAACATCCTTGTTCGTGTAAGTATGCTGCTGCAGGTCAGAGCGAATCAACGGATATGGCAGGATTGATCGTTAGGTAGAGTTTTTATCCCATTATATAAACAGAATGGATAAATAAATAGTTATAGCTTTGAACAAATAACTAACCCGCATCATTGTCAACCACCCAAACTGCCTTCTCTCTTTGTTGTGAGTGATGTAGAAAAAATATTTCTTCACAAACTTGGCAACACTGTGTTTAACTACAAGTGCCTGCTCTTGTTTCAAGGATTATCTAAAGCAACATGATAAAAGATTAAAAGCACAGCCCAGATCTACTTCATTAAACCTGAATCTGTGTCAGTACTAGACTCCTGGTACTAGGATGGGTTAAATGCAGAGGCCAAATGTCACTGTGTGTGCAGTGTGCTCTGCATGTGTGACCATTAAACCTATTCTATTCTATTCTATACTATCCAATCAGAACCAGCCTCCGACCTGGAAACTTACTTCAGACCTGAATACATATTGAAACTGCTATTACATTGCAGGAGCTACAGATCTTTCATGTATTTAATCATTTTTAAATAATAGCTTTTGAAATCTAAAACCTTTAACTTTGTGGGTGTTTCAGAAGTGCAACAGACTTTAACTAAAAAGAGGGGAAATTGTTAAAACATGCATTGTTTGCATGCTATTCTAGCTAGCAGCCTGTGTGCTTGCATGGGTGAGACTAAAACTATACTTTGCTTCATACAGTAGCTTGACTGTTGTTGAAAACTCAACGTAGCCCGTTTAAAAAAGGTTCCCAAAATGTTCAAAGGTCCTCGAAAGTTTAGAGCAGAGGGATAGCACAGCTCTCAACATGGCGATAGCTCAACCCAGTCTCACGGCATTTTGTGTTATAGTTACGACATTTAATCTATTGATTCGTGTTCACCAACACAATTTTCCCCTTTTTTTCGTGTCACACAGAACGATTTTAAAAGCAATGTATTTCTATTGGTAGTATGTTTCGTGCCTGCAGCACGTCTTTTTGTCCGTTCAGGTCTTGGAAGACTGGAAGCTGTGGGGTTCATAAAAACATGTTCTTACTCAATATCAAGCCACAATTATTGTTTTATTTTAAATCGTATAATGTCTGACTTTTTTTGTCGTCTGTGAGGAAAAGAAATGGGGCTCAGAGCCTCAGAATACTGAAATCTGTATTTTTTAAAAATCTTTTTTTCCTTCTAATTTGTTATTCTTGCATTGCGGCTAAAACATCAAATCAGCAAGCTTAAACCATAGCTGAGGATCTTGGGTAATCAGTTCAGTGGCTGTGTCTGTTTCCGGTTATTTTTATTTTTAAATTCAGTTCCTGATGGACGCCAAAAAATCCAGAGATTATGGAATTAAACAAATAAATAAAAACAAGGATAATTGTGTGTTATTGGTGAGTAAATAACAGTGTGCTATTTAGAAAAGAATAACAAATTAGAATTAGAATACAGATTTCAATATTCTGAGGCTCTCAGCCCCATTTATTTTCCTCACAGACGACAAAAAAAGTCTGAC